GAAGATAAAGTGGATGAACTGGACCACTCAAGCAAAGATTATGAAAAATTTAAGAAATCACAAGAATGGAATATGCAGGAATTGAGTGATACCATAAAAAGACCAAACTTGCGAATCATAGGCATACAAGAAGGAGAAGAATCCCAAGACAATGGCATGGACCAGATCTTCAACAGAATTGAGGAAGAAAATTTCCCAAACTTAAAGAAATACATGCCCATACAAATACAAGAAGCATATAGAACACCAAACAGATAGGACCAGAACAGAAACTCTCAACGGCACATCGTAATAAAAACACTACACACACAAAACAAAAAGAAAATTCTGAAAGCTGAAAAAGAGAAACAAGTCACATATAAAGGAAAACCCATTAGGATTACAGCTGACTTTTCAGTGCAAACTATGAAAGCCAGAAGAGCCTAGACCAAAGTATTCCCTGTTTTAAATGACCACAGATGCCAACCCAGATTACTATACCCAGCCAAAATGTCTATTATAGTGGAAGGGGAAAGAAAAGTCTTCCATGACATGAATAGGCTCAAGGAATTCATGTCCAGAAACCAGCCCTTCAGAGAGTTCTGGGAGCAATACAAAGACATGAAGAAAGGAATGAGTATACCCAAGGGATTGCGGAAAGAAATCCAATGAAGGTATAACTGTGGAAAGGTAGAGTTATATCAAGAATGTAAACAGAAATAAAAATGACAAGATTCAATACCCATCTTTCATTAATAACCTTAAATATTAACGGACTGAACTCCCCAGTCAAAAGACACATTATGTGAATGGATTAAGAAACAAAACCCATCTTTTTGTTGTCTGCAAGAAACTCATCTCACTTTCAAGGGCAGACACTATCTCAAAGTGAATGGATGGAAAAAAATATACCTAGCAAATGACAATAAGAAAAAAGCAAGTGTTGCGATTCTAATATCTGACAGAATAGACTTTAAACTAAAACTAATCAGAAGAGACAAAGAGGGCCACTTCATTTTGATCAAAGGAACAATGAATCAAGAAGATATTACAATCATAAACATATATTCACCAAACTGTTGCACCCAACTTCATAGAAACAATACTACAGGATTTTAAGACCCAGATTAACCCCAACTCATTAATAGCAGGTGACTTCAATACCCTACAGTCTCCATTAGATAGGTCAACAGGGTAGAGAGTTAACAGAGAGATATCTGAATTAAACAATACCATATATCAAATGGACTTAACAGACATCTACCGAGTATTCCACCCAAGTACCAAAGGACATACTTTCTACTCAGCACCCCATGGAACCTTCTCCAAAATCAACCATATACTGGGGCACAAAACAAACCAACAAATACAAAAAGATTGAAATAATTCCATCCATTCTATCAGACCACAATGCAATAAAGCTTACATTCAACATCTGAAGAACCCCTAATCACCACATGAACATATGGAGATTAAACAACACACTCCTGAATGATGAATGGATCAAAAGAGAAATTAAGAAAGAAGTAAAAGTATTCCTGGAACTAAATGAAAAGGACAATACAACA